CTCTTTCCTTTTCCTAATACCATAAAAACAGGGGGGAAAAAGATCCATGTGTCATTTCATTTTGCTATGATTCCTGAAGAAATTAGGGTTCTGAGAGGACTTCTGTTACTTTTATCTATATTGACATGCAAATAATTCTTTCTCACATAGTTCTTCCCAATTGATTAAATATGTGTACCTTTATGTTTCTCTTGTTTCCTGCATTAACATGTCAAAGTGTATGTCTTTGATCCTTTCATCAGAAATATTTGAAAAATCTTCTTTCATTTAATGGAAGTAGGAGTTCAGTGCTTTGTACCAGCAGTAGATCATTGCCTTAGAGTTTTCTGGATTGTATTCTTTTTTTGAAAGATAGGATATTCTTAGTGCAAACATTTATCTTTTGCCATTTGGAATATCATTTTTCTTCCAAGCTCTAATCTCCTCCATATTGGAAATTACCAAGTCTTGTGTCATTCTGACTTTACCTCCTTTGCTCTCGAACTTTTTTCTCTTTTGGCTCCTTGGGACATTTTTTTTTCATTTAACTAAAAGCTTTGGATTTTGACTATAACTTTCCTGGGAGTTTTCATTTAAGGTTTCCTTTTAAGAAGTCTCCTGGAAGTGATTCATTCAGAGGGTAATTCTTTCTCTCTAAACTTTGTCTTCCAGCTCTAAGAGTTCCAAACAGTTTTTATGCATTATTCCTTGAAATGTGATATCTACACATTTTTATTATGATTTTATAGTAGTCTAATGAAAATCATTATTACTATTTATATATTTATAAATAAATGGTATGTATATGTATATATATATATATATATTATATATGTATGCAAACATATATGTACAAATATGTATACATATACGTATACATATATGTATGCATTTGTATAATGATCGCTCCTTGATCTGCTTTCTAGGTCAGTTATTTTTATTACACAAATTTATTTGTAAAACACTACAAAAAAGAATGGGAGCAGATTTCATATAATTTTACCTCATCAAACAGTGAAAAGCAGGGGAAGTAAAGGTATGTTCATGGAAAGCTGTCTTAGTCCTTTGACTAAGCCACATCCTTCCAAGAATATTTATAATTGAAGCTGATAGATTGACATCAAGTAGATGAGAAATAGAAAAGTTTTGTTCATATTTCTATAATATAATTTCATCATCAATTAAATTGGAGTTTGCACACTAATGTCTTAGTGCTTACTATGTTACACAAGGAAAAAATATACCTAAGAAGTTAGGAACAGTGAATTCCATGAAGGATGAACTGAGAAAACCCATACTGGAGGAAACACTATTTTTAAAGTGTTTAAGGATGTTTTATAAAATATCTCATGGTGAGGTCTGGAGAAAAGGGAAGAAAAGGAAGGAAAATGCTAAAAAAATTAAGAAAATTATTACTTATTGAAGGTGATTGGGAGAATATCAACAACTACCAACCTATATGCCTACTTTCTCATCTTTATAAAAATTTTATGAGAGTGATTTGCACACATATTGAAAATATCTGTGATGAAAATATCAAATGAAATAGGCAGACTTTTAAAAATAACTTTCTTTTTGCAAGCCATATTTTCAGATATGATTGACTGAAAGATGTAGACAATAGGAGATTCCACGGGTTAATTGTTTGTTGATTAAAATTTTTAATTTGATGGTACAAAATGAAGCATTAATTTGTCTTCCCCAACAATAAGTCTCTCAGACAAATGTTAACATTATGCAAGATTCCTTGAAAATGTAACCATGGGGATGCCTGTTCAGCCACCCTCTGATTAGCAGTATTAAACAGTAATAAATCAGGGAGGTGAATGATTTGGTGATCTAGAGAAATAAATATAGCATTTGAAATCAGTGGATCTGGTTTTGAATCCCTACTTTGCTATTTGTAATCTATGTGACTTGGGACAATTTTTTTTGTGTCTCAGTTTCTTTATTATATGAGTGGATTGGACAAACTGACTTTTGAGGTTCCTTCTGGTTTTAACTTTGTGTTTTCTTGCTCACCAAAGGGTTCATCACTCTCAGGGAGCATGTCCAGTTTCCAAAGGGAAGACAGATTCCTTAAGGAAGGTGTGGTCAGGTGATCTTATTTTGATGTTATTGATCACTATGATATTTTACATTATTTTCCATTAGAACTCTATTTTCTCAATAGACATTTTATGATTCTATGATTCTGGGGCCTTAAGAATGTGGGGGAATATGAATGTTTTAGCTATATTCAGGAAAAGAAGATCAAAGAAGGGATAGGATCACTACTTGGGGATGAATAGAACAATGATAATGCACATTAGGTAGAAGACTTACTCTTTCCTAGTTTTGTTTTTGTGAAGCTCTTGTTTGGTTCTACTTTTCAATAAGGAGAATGATGTTCAGACTGGAAACAATTTAAAATTGTTCATAGAGAATTAAAATCAAAGATAATGTGTAGAGATAGTGTTAGAGTATCTTGCTGTCATTGATGCATTCAAGGTACTTGGTGCAGATAAACTACCTCCCAGAATAATGAAATATCTGACAGATATGATTGCTAACCCACTGTCTATGATCTTTGAAAGATACTTGAAAATCAGATAAGGGTGAGATCACTCCAACATTCTCTCTCCCTCTCTCTCTCTCTCTCTCTCTCTCTCTCTCTCTCTCTCTCTCTCACACACACACACACACACACACACACACACACACACACACACACACGAGGTGATCAGCATTTAATGAATTCTAAACCTTTGCAATATTGTAGTCTAGCTGACTCTTCCCCTCTCTCCCTCCTTCCTTCCATGGGTGCTTCTCAAATGTCTTCTCTTCTCCCTCTCTATTATTTTAGTTGGTAAACTCATCAGCTCCCATGGACCCACTTATCATCTCTATGCAGGTGATTATCAGATGTAAAATAACCCTAATCTCTCTTCTGAGCTCTAGTCTCCAATAACCAACTGCCTTTTCTGCATCTCAAACAGGATGTCCCATAGGCATCTCAAGGATTCTATATGTAGAACAAAACACATTCAGTTCCCCCCCATACCCAAATCCTACCCTCTTCATAATTTTCCTATTATTGTCAAGGATACCACCATTATTCTAGTCACCTAGGTTATCAGTCTTGGTGTCACACTTGACTCTTCACTTTCACTCACCTCACATATCCGATTGTCAAATCTCATTGTTTCTATCTGCTTAATATCATTTGGATACATGTCATCTCCATTTAAAGTCACCACTTTATCTCCTCATGCCTTGACCATTGTCATAGTCTTTCTGGATGGCTTACCTGACCCAAAATCTTCCCAACCACTCCTGAGTTGCCAAGGTGATTTTTCCAAAGCCCAGGTCTAACCATGCCAGTATTCATCATACTACAATGATTCCTTATTATCTGCAGGACCAAATATAAAATCTCTGTTGGGAACTTAAAGTTCTTCACAACCTGGCTCCTTCCTAATTTTCCTTTCTTCTTCCCACCAAGAACCCTATAAGTAACACCAGGCTCCATGTTCTTCTTTATACACTGCCCTCTGTCTTCCAACTCTGTACCTTTTCAATGACTGTTCCCTATGTAGGACTACAATACTCATATCTCTCCTCCACCTCCTGTCTTCCCTGAACTTCTTTAAAACTCAACTTTCCTTCTCTTGCATTTACATACATCTGGTACATTCATAGTTGATTACATGTTGTCTCACCTATTAGAATGTGAGCTCCTTGAGGGCAGAAACTAATTTTTTTTCTTTCTTTGTACACCCAGTGCTTAGTACAGTGTCTGCCATATAGTAAGGTCTCAATAAATGATTGTTGATTGAATTAGTGCATGTTTAGGAAAGGAACCTCATTTTCTTTTTCAATAGTGTTACTAGATGGGTACAATCCTACAGATATTATTAACTTGGATTTTATTTATTTAAACATCTATTGTTGCTTAGCTTTAGGACCATGTTTACATTTTCTTTTCTAACAACAAACTTAATACTACTATTAGGGACCAAATTTGGTGGCTTCAGCATCCTTGAAGATGAACGGTATATAATGTAATTCAATTCAGAGGCAGTTAGGTGATAGTGAACTTGGCCTGGAGTCAGGAAGACTCATCATCATAGTTCAAATTTGGCCTCAGATATTTTGTGACCCTGGGCAAGTCACTTAACCTTGTTTGACTCAGTTCCTTACTTATAAAATGAGTTGGAGAAGGAAATGGCAAAGCACTCCGGTATCTTTAACAAGAAAACCCCCAAAACTCATAGAGAGTTGGACACAACTGAAATGACTCAACAACAACAATAAAATTAAATTCATAAAGCAGATATGAAGTATCTAATATGTGCTACACCCTGAATATAAAACAAAAAAACATAACAATTCCTACCCACAAGAAGACTAAATTTAACACGTACATGGAAAAATAATGTGTGTATATGCATATATAGTGTATATTTATACATGTATATATGTACATACACATACATATATTCATGTGTGTACATACACCCATATCCTTTATACAGATAATACATCATATATGAAGTATGTGTCACATAGCTAGCAAATAGCTGAGGCAGGATTTGAATTCAGTCCTCCTGACTCTCAAGTCCAGCAGTCTATCCATTTTGCCACTTAGCTGTCATCACATTTTTTAATCATCTATAACTATGAAAGTATTTGAAGTTATGAAATTCTGATTATAATTTTTAATATTTTATATGGGATATACTTTAAATATTGAAAGAAGTACTCTAGCAAGGTCTCATCTATCTATTATAATTTGTAATACTTCATATTGTTTCCTTATTTTATAAAATTTGGTGAATATAAATAATATGTCAGGAAATAAAATATAACTTGTAAGATAATAAAGCAATAAACATATATCAATTTAATTTCAACTTTGAGCTATTTTATTTAAACAATGTTTGGCAATATGTGGCTTAATACCAGGAAAAAAATAAAATTCTTTATTGTATCACTTTACTTTGATTTAAAGCATGGATAAAGTGAAAATGTCTGCTTACCAAAATGTGTGCCAGAAGACGGCAGAGAATTTTACAAGCTCTCTTTCAAGGACATGGTTATTTTTTTTAATTTCAGCCACCTAATTAATAAAATAAAATTAGTACCAAATTATATAAAATGTTTACTGTTTTTACTGGCTAATAAAAAATACCATATTAATTGAGAAATATACTTCAAGTTCAAGTGCATCTGTCACTTAGTTTTTTAACAATGTTTACATATAAACTAAAATTTATAAGAAAAGAATCTCTTCTGGTATTACGTTTTTTTTCTCTGCTTCCACTGGCAAATGGTTATACAATCACATAAACTGTAATGAATAACAGATCACTCTTGTTATCTGTCCAAAATTCACTAGATAGAAGACCAGATATAAGCAATAACATAATAGTAATGTAAATAATATAAGCAGTAATATAAGCAGTTTAAATAGAAAAGGTATCCTTATTAATATTACAACGAAAAGCAATATAAATTGTGTTTCTACATAACTTTTGTTCATTAGTGAGAAGTTCAAGATGGCTTGTAAAGCACATGCCCAGGGATCATAGTTTTCAAATAGTTTGACATCTATGATACAAGTACTCAAATGTTCATAACACCTCCAAGACCTGATCACACAACCAATAAGATATGATTAATGAATAATACAGGGTAATCGTGGAGCTCTTCTATTGTAGTGTACATGTGTTTGACCATACATTGTGATCCAATTTGCACTCAAGTGTTGAATCCTTTCCATAGTTTGGAAACAATTTGAGATCATGTTGAGAAATTGCAAAAACATGTTGAGCTTAGTCAAAAGCTGTCAGAAGTTGATGTAATAGCAGAATGATGGTTTTGATTCACTGTAGAAGTGAATCTATAATGCTTCCAAATTATACATCCTTTTTGTCATGGGGTAAAATATATTTGTTACATAATTAAGCAATTATTTACTACTTAAGAGGCCATTAAATGATTTTTAGTGCAATTTCCTTGGACCATCATTGTGAATCACCAAAGTATTGTAAGCCACTAAATGGGAACCATTGTACTAAAGGGATGGTCATGCCCTAGAGAGAAATAATGAAGTTTAGAAGAGGGATGAATTTAGGGAGAAAGATAATTAAAATTGCATTGTTGATGAGTCTTCTGATCAAAACCTTAAATTGGTGGTTAGTGATATAGGATTGGCATTCCTCCCATTTTGTATGAGTAATTGTTAGGAATTAAGAAATAGTTTAAATGGAAAATAAGGAAAAGAGATGATGATGTGATGGTACTGGTAAATGTGTCTATCTTGGAAGAATTGTACAAATAAACATTTGTAGAACATTTATTTTATAACAAAGATGATACATTCCTATTGAATAAATATAAACTCAGAACCTGGTATTCAAGTTTTTCCACAATTTGTCTAGAGTTCACCTTTCTAGCTTTATTTTACTATTTCCCTACATATGCTGCCACCAAAGACTGAACTACTCAGTTTCTTATGTTATTCCTATTTCTCATCTCCATGCCTTTGCTCAAGAAGTTATCGCCATGGAATGGAATAAATCATGTTCATTTGTTGAAGTTCTTCACTTCATGGCCCAACTCAATTGTAACCTCCACGATAAAACTTTCCCTGAATTTCTACCTCCTGCCCCTCCTTAAAAGTAATATTTTTCTCTTCAAATTTCACATATCATTGCCTAGACATTTCCATTAAACATAACACATTCTCCTATCTCTCATAGCTATTTATATACATATTTTTCCCCATTACTAAACCTTAAGCTCTTTGAGAATAGGCTTGGTGAGATATTTATCTTACCTTTGGGCCTCAGGATGCAGAAGAGTGTCTTGAACACAGTATTTGGGACTAGAAACTAGACCTGTGATTTCATGGATAAAGGGAACTTCCAGGAGAGAAAACTCCCTTTTCCATTTTAAGTCAGTAACTTTTATACAGTGTCCACTACTTGCCAAACAAGCACTAAATGATTTATAAATATTATCTGACTTGCTCCTCATAACAACCTTTGAAGTAGATGCTGTTTTTGCCCCTCATTTTACACTTGAGGAAACTGAGGCAGAAGTTAAGTGACTTGCCCAAGGTCACACAGTAAATGTCTGAGCCTGGATTTGAACTCAGATCTTTCTGACTCTCACCAAGTGCTTTATCCACTCTGCTACCTAGCTGTCTCTACAGTTTACAAGTTGCTGAGAATATTTAAAGTTCAAGTGACTTTTCCAGGGTCACAGAGCAAGTGTATATCAGAGGCATGATGGAATCTGAATTAGGGTTCTCCTGACTTTGAGGCCCTTCTTCTTAATGAATGCTTTTAAAAAAATAAAACAAAAAGGATTGAAGACTGAGGCAAAACAATCATAATTTAATTGGGAAGATTAAGGCTAAACTCAATGCAATAATTAGTGGATGATACAAAGCAGAATTTAATTAAGTATTCAATTGTGCTATATAAGTAATATGTTAGGACAAAGGAGAGGTCAGTCTGGGCTGGAACTTTCAGGGAATATTACATGGAGGACATGGGGTTGTTTTGTTTCTGTTTCTGTTTCTGTTTTTTGGCTAGACAGTGGGTTTAAGTGACTTGCCCAGGGTCACACAGAAAACAAGTCTGAGGCCAGATTTGAACTCAGGTCCTCCTGAATCCAGGGAAGGTGCTCTATCCACTGTGCCACTTAGCTGCCCCAAGGACATGGGGTTTTAAAGATGGTCAGCATTTAGACAAGGAACAAGGAAAGGGCAGGATGTTTTGAAGGGTGACTATTAGGTAGCTGTGTGGGAATGAGCCATGAGGAGACAGCATCAACACAGGTACAGATGTGGAAGAGTAAAGTTTGGAGTTGACTGAAAAAATCAAATTTTTTTCAAAACCATCTGAAGGTGTTCTTATATTAATTTCTGCTCCCATATAGTTTTGATAAAATCATCCAGGGAGAAAACATCTTCAAATAGTGAATTATCACTAAACAAACAAGTTTTCCTACAGTTTAGAGAAGGCAGAAGGGAGAGGGGGGAGGAGGAAGCTCTTTTCTGACACCATGAAATGCCTACTAGTCTTTGGATTCTCTGGAATTCCAATCTTGACATAAGCTTTTGTCCCCATGTCCAGAGATTCCAATGAGATTTTTCTTCTATTTCAGTGGAAAGTGGCCCCAAAGAAGACTACCCAGAAATAACTTAACATGAGGTTCCCAACAAACATACAGTTCATGAAAATTCATAACTCTCCCTCTCACAATCCACTTCCCCATCACTACAATTTGTGAATGTCATAATAGTCTCCAAAATGGACAGCCTTCAACATTTGTCTCTATGCTTCAAGAGCTTCCTACTATTATACAGAAAAAAGATTCTGACTTGAAGATATGCAGACAAGAGTATCTGTGAAAATTCAAAGATTACTGCAAGTTGTTGAATTCTAGACTTAAAGCTGGGAAGAGAATATTGGAACCATCTAGCCTAACTCCTTCATTTTATAGATCAGGGAACTGAGGTCCAAAGAGTTTAATTGACTTGTTGTACATCATAGAGGTATTAATCTTAAGAGGTGGATTTGAACCAGGTCCTCTGACTGCAAATCTATTGATCTTCCTATGTGATGCTGAAACACAGGAAAGCAGTGGAATGGGGTGGGGGATGGAGAGGAGTGTGGGAAGAAGACGTGCTTGCTCTTTTCACTCACTCAGAAGGCCCCTTTGTACTTGATATTTCCTTTGGTGTTCAGATAAGACTGGAAAGGACTCATGTAAGAGGTGGCATTTGGGTTTAGCTTTTGAAGAAAAATCAATATTCTAAGAAATATACTTGAGAAGGGAGTAGAATCAGGATTTGAATTCAGGTCTTCTCACTACAATTCAAATATTTTCTCTACTATATCAGGCTGACTGTCTTTGCATCCCTAGAGCAATAACCCAAAGAAAGGACAAGAACTAAGAGAAGGAACTTAGTGATGATGTTCTCAAATGCCCCTTCACACATGGATCCTCTCCTGTCCTCCCCATCCCAAACCTAACTGCTAATTATTTCTCTCTGAAAATACTTGGTATTTATTTGTATCTTTTTTGTATGGGGAGGGATGTACTTGTGTAGTTGAGAGCTGGCCTCATTTTCAAAAAGACTTAGGTGCATGTCTGGCCTCTGACACATATTGGCTATATGACCCTATGCAAGTCACTGAATTTCTCAATGTCCCTTGAGAGTTTCCTAAAACTTAGGTTACTGAGCAGGTGCTGATTTGTATTAATGGAAGTAGTTTCACATGAATGGCCTCTTGCAGCAATGAAATCACAGGTCTGATTGAAAAATATCTATGTTGTTTCTCCTGCTATAACGTAAGCTCCCAGAGGGCAGGGGCCATTTGATTTTTTCAATGTATCCCTGGGCTCTGGCACATTACCTTGCAAAGAGTAGGCACTTAATAAATGCTTTAAGTTAGTCACACAGTCTCCCACACAGTGAGGAATCCCTCCTATGTGATCCCCAAGTCATGATCATCCAGTCTCTGCTGACCTACCTCCAGTGAACAGGAGTTCATTCTTGCTCTGGGCAGACTAATATATTTTTGGAAAGCTCTATTTTTGAGGAAGTTGTCTCTCTCTCTCTCTCTCTCTCTCTCTCTCTCTCTCTCTCTCTCTCTCTCTCTCTCTCTCTCTCTTTCGCTCCCTCTCTCTATTCCCTCCCTCCCTCCCTCTTACACTGAGCAAATTGGAGAATCTCATCTATGAATTAAGCCAGTAAATCTAGGCCACATGAGTAGGCTGCCTCTTGGATCAATCTGAGACAGAAATCAGCAGGATGAAGTCCTCTCTAATGATTTAATTCTTTCTATGCTTCTATTCATTTGTTCTTTCTCAGGGGCCTAAAAGCAGTGTTCTTCTACTAGTATCATATTTTGTCTACAGACCCAATGCACAAAAAATGAAAATCATCCGATTGCTTTGCTTGCATGTAAAAATCAGAAACTCTGCAAATTCTAGCTTAATAACATAGTTGGCTTGTATCTCTGGAAAAATAAAATAAAATAAGCCAAAGGCTTGAGTTCAGCTTGGCAGATAGCAATCCCTTGAGTTTTTGCCCTGTTTTCTGGCTCTGTTTTCTACAAGACCATCTAAGAGCAGCCATAGACAGCCTCTGTAAACAATGATTTACACATTCTCTATTTCTGCAGGTACAGAACATAGTGATTAAGCCCCAGGGTAGATTTAATAAGACGAATTCTATGTTTTGTTGTTTAACCACATTGTAATAAGAATTTCATGGGGAAAATACATTTTATAGTAGCCTTATATGGAAAAGTATGGGATAAAAACTGTTTACCTAGTGTGCTTCTTGTGGGTATTTCACAGTGGTATCCATTTGTTATTTACTGTCCTAACCGTACTATTAATAAATGAAGGATAGATGTCTCTAGTTTAAGATGCTGATGTTTTAGAAAACTAGAGCTGTGTTTAGATGTTAAAGCCAGGTCTTAGATTAATTTTACCTCAAACAGAATGGCTACATGCCATTTTGTTGCCTGTCATCATTTGCTTTCACTGAGATAAAAAGACCAAATTGAATTGTTATACCCCCCCCATAATTATAGTCTCTCTATTTCTAACACCTATGCATTAAACTCATCAAGGCAGAAAGCCTGATCAATAACTTCTAGGTAATGAGCAAGATGCTTATAAAAGTTGTCAACACTATATACCCTACTGGCAACCTTCCAAGAGTGGGTGTGACCTTAAGAGTCACAGCTCAGGCCTACAACTTTATCTGAGCCTAAATTCCCAGACTTACCACAAGTCACATCTTTCAGGGCTAGTCTATGGTCATACTCTGAGGAAGTTGATACAGCAGCAATACACAGGTGGGACACACAACTTCCTTCACACAGTGGAGGCTATGTTCTCACATCCAGAATGCTGCTTGTGGTGAACTTCATACCAGGTTCCTCCTCTTGTTCAGTTTGCTTTTTCACTGTACAGCAAAAATATCAGAAAGGAGTGGATTAAAAAAAAAAGTAAGTGATACTTCCACTGCCTGTGCCCATGTGGTACAGTGTCAAGAGTATTGCATCCAGTAACCAAAGATTCAAGTCTTGGCTAGACTAGATGTCAGATGTGTGATCTTGAATACTTAACCTTTCCAGATCTCCAATTCCTCATTCATGATTTAGGAATAATAATACTACCTCATGGATCAAATGAAATTGGGTGTGTAAGATATTTTTTAAACTAAAAAGCTTTATATAAAAAGATCTCTTTTTAACATAGTAGTATTATTAATAATAACATATTCTGGATATTGACCCCTACTACCTTGGTAGAAAGGTCAGAGCACTTTCTCAGTGCAAATGGCTGTACTCACTCTTTCTTTCTCCACAATTTTATTGCATTGCCTACCCTACTGTGCTAACAATTAAACTTTCATGGCCACTGGATGATCATTTCCTATCAGTGAAGCAAATTAAATACGGGGGAAAATAGAAGTCTACTTTCAAAGATATGCAAATCAAAGTTTAGGATGCAGTTTGTTATTTGCAAAATGTGTAAATTCCTTATTTTCTTGTCTGCAGTCAATGCTATTCATATTGTGTCCTGCCTGCTGTTGCCCTAGATGCCCTTCACTTCAGTTTGGATTCATTAGCATTATTTTTAGAAATGATGATGGAATCTATTTTGCCAATTGTAGAAACCATTCAACTTTTGTGAGGCTAGAATCTCAACCTGAAGTTGAACTTTTTGGTGTTTAAGTTTGTTTACTCTTGGCAAAATGCAACTTCCTATTTCTAAGAAAAGGGGATTAGACATTCATGAAAAAATTCTCCAAAGTCTTCTTGGATATCAAATAGCTTGTACAGAATAACATTTTGATGAGTTAAGTGAAAAGGAATCAGGAACATAAGGATTACATTTACTTGAAAATACGCCTGGGTTTCAAAATCAAGATGGGGAGAGAAGCACTTGGAGCTCCATATTTTGCCAAACCCCAAAGGTTTGAAAACTAGTCAGAAATTTGATGAATACAGACATGGTTTTGTTTTCCCATTCATAGTTTCTCAACATTTGTTTTACAACAAAAGATAATTTTGCAGAAAAATTGGTCAATTATAATGATTTTCTTTTAATGCTATTTTTAGTAAGGAAAAACATTTGTTTTAGATACCTTCTAAAAGGTTCTTCAGTGCTCACTTAACTCAGAATCAGAATTTCTGAGATCAAAGGTATTTTGGGGATCATCTGGTCAGGCTGCTCCTGAACAAGCCTCCCTTTTAAAACTCACTCAAGTTAGACTTCTAGCAAAAGTTAACCAACTGCTTGCAAAGGCAGTTAATTTCACTTGTCAATGGTGTCAATTATTTAAAAAAATATTTTCTTCCTCCCATTCAATCAGAGCTAAATTTTCCTCTTCACAATTTTCTCCTATTGCTTCTAGGTTTTGTGATCTGGAACCTTCTTTAACATGAATGCCCTTCAGGTATACCTGTAATGGAGTTATATACCTATCACATGCTCTATGCTAATTCTTCTTTTCTCAAAGTTAAATATCCTGCTAATTCAATTCATCATCAAATGGTATAATCTTAAGACCTTTAATTATCCTGGTCAAAATCCATCTGGACACTATACAGTTTCTCAGTGATTCTAATAAACAGTGGTACTCAAAACTGAATATAGTTCTCCAGGTATGATCTGTCCAGAGCAGACATTCTCTTCTAATCTTCTGCTTTATGTCTATCTTAGTGCAACCTAAGATTACCTTAGCTTTTTATTTTTTTTTACTAACCTTAAAGTCCACTAGAACTTTTTTTTTCCCTAGGAAAGTGGTCTATCATCACATTCTCCCCATCTTGGACTTGTGAAATCAATGCTTTGAATCCAGGTGTCAGATTTTAACATTCATGTGTAATGAGCTTAATCTTATTAGATTTTACTCAAGCTTCTAGACTAATATTTTTTGGCAGCTTGACTCTGTCTTTCTGTGTTATCTATTCCTCCAAGCTTTGAATATTATCTCAAAATATGAAAACCAAATAATGTATACAGACGGAGCCTAATTATGAATCCTGGAGTACTATATTAGACACCTCTTTCCCAAATGACATTGAATCATTAATAATTATTCTTTGGGTCTTACCATGTAAATTCATTGCTGAATCTACCTAGTATATTAGTAACACCTCCCCATATTTTCCATGAAAATGGCATAAGAAAGCAACTTTTCAAAAATTTGCTAACATATAGGTAATTTCTAAATCATTTCTCTGATATACCAGACTAGTAACCATCTTTTTTTTTTTTTTTCAGGAAGGGACCCCTCCAAGGGAATCTTTCAGGTATTTCTTTTTTTAAGGTTATGTACATGTAATCATGCAAAGCTTATTTCCAAATTAGTCATGTTGTAAAAGGAAACATAGACCAAAACAAAATCCCAAGAAAAAATGAAGTGTAAAAAGTATGCTTCAATCTGTATTAGACTCCATCAGTTATTTCTCTGGGGATGGAGAGTATTTTTCATAAGTCCTTCAGAGTTGTTTTGGATCACTGTATTCCTGAGAATAGCTAAGTCGTTCACAGTTGATCATCTTAAAATACTGCTATAACTATATACAATGTTCTCCGGTTCTACTCATTTCACTTTGCATCAGTTCATGTAAGTCTCTCAACATTTTTCTGAGAGCTTCTAGCTCATCATTTCTTATATCATAATAGTATTCCATCACAATCATATACCACAACTTGTTCAGCCATTCCACAATTGATTGGCATCTCTCCAATTTTTAATTTTTTGCCACCAGAAAAGAAGTGCTATAAATATTTGGGCATAGTACCAAATTGCTTTACATAATGATTGAATCAGTTCACAACTACACCAATAGTGCATTAATATTTCAATTTTCCCACATCTCTTCCAGAATTTATTATTCTCCTTTTCTGTCCTATTAGCCAATCTAATAGGTGTGTGATAGTACTTCAGTATTATTTTAATTTGTATTTCTCCAATCAGTAGTGATTTAGAGCATTTTTTCATATGGCTATAGATAGCTTTGATTACTTCATCTGAAAACTGATTGTTAATTTTTTTTTATTATTTGTCAATTGGGGAATGACTTTTTTTTTATAAATTTGACTCATTTTATACTTGAGAGACGAGGTCTTTATCAGAGAAACTTGCATCCAAATTTTTTCACAGTTATGATTGCTAACTGTATTTCCCTCCATCCTAATTCCCCCCTATTTATTCTATTCTCTCTCTCTTTAACCCCGTCCCTCCTCAAATGTTTTGTTTCTGACAATTGCCTCCCCCGATCTACCTCTCTTCTATGAGTGCTCCACCTTCTCTTATACCCTTTCCCTCCTATTTCCCTACCATATGTAGGGTAACATAGATGTCTATTCCCAATTGAGTGTGTATGTTACTCTCTCTTTGAGCCAATTCTGATGAGAATAAGGTTCAAGCATTCCTGCCACTCCTTCATCTTCCCCTGAACTGTAATAGGTCTTTACTGTCTCTTTTATGTGAGATAATTTGCTCCATTCTACCTCTCCCTTTCCCTTTATACCAGTGTATTTCTCTTTCTAACTGCCCTAATAACGAGAAAGTTCTTATGAGTTACAAGTATCATCTTCTCATATAGGAATGTGAACAACTTAACCTTATTGAGTACATTATTATTTCAATTTCCTTCCCTTTTTTCCCATGAAGATTATACTCAGTTTTGTTGGGTAGATGATTCTTGGTTGTAATCCTAGCTCATTTGTCTTCTGGAATATATTCCAAGCTCTCCAATCCTTTAATGTAGAAGCTACTAAACCTTGTGTTATCCTGATTGTGGCTCGATGATAATTGAACTTGTTTTGTTTTGTTTTGTTTTGTTTTTCTGGCTACTTGCAATATTATCCCTTTAACCTGGGAGCTCTGAAATTTGGCTATAATATTCCTGGGTGTTTTCATTCTGGAATCTATTTCAGGAAATGATCAGTGGATTCTTTCAATTTCTATTTTACCCTCTGCTTCTAGAATGTCAGGGCAGTTTTCCTTAATAAATTCTTAAAAGATAATGTCTAGGCTCTTTTTTAATCATGGCTTTCAGGAAGTCCAACAAGTGTTAAATTATCTCTCCTAGATTTGTTTGCCAGGTCAGTTTTTTTTTCTAATATTTCATATTGTCTTCTTTTTTTTATTCTTTTGGTTTTATTCTAATATTTCTTGATGTCTTATTGACTCATGAGCTTACATTTGCTCAAATCTAATTTCTAAGGAATTATTTTCCTCAATGAGGTTTTATACCTCCTTTCCATTTGACCAATTCTATTTTAATGAGTCATTTTCTTCAATGATATTTTGTGCTTTTTTTTCCATTTGGCCAATTCTGCTTTTTAAGGCATTCTTTTCTTCAGGAAATTTTTGTACTTCCTTTACCATTTTACCTATTATATCTTTAAGATGTTATTTTCTTCAGTATTTTTGTGCCAGCTTTACCAAGCTGTTAACTCTTTTTTTTTTACTATTTTGTTGTATCACATTTATTCTTCTTGCCAATTTTTCCTCTACCTCTCTTATTTGATTTTTAAAATCCTTTTTGAGCTCTTCCATGCCCTGAGAGCAATTTATATTTTTTCCTTGGAGTCTTTGGATGTGGGAATTTAAACTTTGCTGTCTTCTTTTGAGTGTGTGTTTTGATCTTCCTTGTCATAATTTTCTATAGTCATATTTTTTTTCTGTTGTTTGCTCATTTTCCCAGCCTTTTTTTTTTTAACTTTTAATTCTTTGCTAAAGTGGGGCTTTGCTTCCAGGGTGGAAGGTACACTGTTCTAAGCTTAAGGGATTTTGTGCAACTGTTTGCAGAGATGCTTCTAGGAACCTCTCCATTTTCAATTTTTTCAAGTTAGTATAATCTAAGGAGTGGTGTGTTTATTACTCTCCTTTCCTGTGCTCTGGTCTATGAACGACCACAAGCATTCTTTTCTGTCATA